AGTAGGAGTAGGAGTAGGAGTGGTGGTGGTGGTGGTGGTGGTGGTAGTAGTAGTAGTGGTATACTGGAACTGGAACTGGTACTTGTACTTGTACCTGTACTTCTTGTCCTACTAAGATTGGAAATCTTAGTAGCACTAGCCGTACTAGGAGCACCTGTAGGACGTGGGAAGCAGGGGGGGCATCAGCAGCGGCAGCCTCAGTCGCTGACTTTCGCATCATCGGTATGGGTATCAAGCCTTGCTAAAGCAGGATTCCTTCAAGCTCCAAGAGGATGTGGAATAGGGTCCATTCTCCATGCATGCCCACGTTTCGGTTTTGATGCCACGTGGCACCGCAAGAGCGCCAGGAAAAAAAGGAGCCAGGGTGTGCCAAAGGTCCGGATGCAAACGTTCAGCCTTCAGGTTTCTTCTTGACGTTCATGGCCCCAAGGCTTTCATGACTCTTGCAAAGCTATTCCAAGCACACCTGCCGAAAAGGCTTGTCAGATCATGACTTGGATATACCAAGATATTCCCACAGTTTGCTTTCAGAAACGATGCGTGTGTGTTCGCTCTGGACAGCACGACAAGTTCCTCCAATGCATGCCCTGGTGCCAGTGCTGGCACCTGCAATTTGCTCCATGGGTTTGGGGCTCTGGCGGTCTGCGCGTCTAGGGCTTAGGTGTCTGCCCGGGTCCTTGCATTTCTCCCTGCCAGCGCTCCTTACTTCCTACTCAGCTACATGCATGGATGTGCAGCGGGGACCGTGCATCTGTTTCGGTAAACATCTACACACTGCCTTGTTCATTGCCTTCTCCTCGGTTCAATGTGCAGTCTTCAAGCTGACATTTCGAGAAGACTTCGCACATGCAATCCCGTGATCTTGGGCCAAAGGTAACCAGCGCCTGGGACCTCGCTGCTTTGGGCATCTCAGGCTGTTGCGACTTGCAGTTTCGACTGGAGCTGGATATCAGAGGTGTCAGAGGGGATTTTTAAAAATATTGACAAGATGGATCGACGGCCGTCCGTACCGTGGTCGCGCATGTTCCTCAAACTCCAGCCAAGACCTCCACAAGATGAGCGGAGAGATGCAGTAGACTTAAAGCTTGGAACAGACTCTGGCCCCTTTACGCCCCCCCAAAATTCCAAACTTAGTATTCCTTGGGTTGCCTAAACCCTAAACCCCTAAACCCCTAAGCCCTGAACCCCTAAAGCCCTAAACCTGCAGGGCAAGACAGACCCGGGCTGGCCTGGCCAAGCCTGGCCACTCCTTTCCAGTGCATAACCTTCCAACACTTTGTTCTCATTCATCAGGGTTTAGGGTTTATAGGGTTTATAAGGTTTATAGTTCATCATGCCCTTTTTTAAAGCGGTTTAGGGTTTAGGGTTTAACTTCTTTGCACTGTGTGGGTCCTCCCATGCGGCTCAAAGTAGTGGGTTGAACAGTTTGAGGCATGTTTAGGTGATGACGTCTGGGTTAATTATGAGTTGGGGACCGAAAGCCACGCAGCTCGCCATAGAGCTAGCTGGCCGTTCTATCCTGACCACGATGGGTGTTTCAGAAACAAGGACTCTACCATGGCGCCGTAATCAAAGAAGTATTTTTTGAGCCTATCAGAAAGGGTCCGTTGACGAAGCTTAAGAACAACAAATATTGGTATTACTGATCCTGTTCTCAGGGCCCTGCCCCTCGTCAGTGGCCATGGCGCAATGGGCACCTGGCTTTGGGCCCTGGGCCACGGAAAGGGCGATTTCCGAAGCTGTCCCACGAAGCCGGTGGCCTCACGTCGAGCGTTTCGACGCGATCCCCTTGAGTGGCCCGGTCGTATGAAGGAGGTCGTTGGAGTTCCAAACATCAACCGTCCTATCCCCGCCCGATCGCTGCAGATAATACTCAGAATATATAGCAAACGACACCACCGAGCCCTCAAATGGGTCGCCGGTGATAGGGAGCACGCCGAGGTGCGCACCGCAGACCGCGACGACTGCGGAACGCCACGGAGGCCGGTGTTGCCCCTGAGCCTCATGCACACACCTCAACCCTAAACCCTACCTAAACCCCCACAAGTAGGTAAAATAATAGCCCAAAACCCATAAGAGGCTATTATTCTACATACTTTTGGGGTCCAGGTAAACCTTAAACCCTAAACCCTAAACCCTCAAGGACCAGGACCCAGTCGAGGCGTGAAGGCTTTTTTCTGCAGGGCCTGGGGTTCAAGCCTACACAGGCGCGGTGATCCATCAGCACTCTCCATCATCATGGACGTAGGGGCTTCCCGGAAAGAGGTTCAGAGGCATCAAAGGTGTGACATCCTAAATGATGCCGGGGAAAACCCCATGAATCCCCAAACCCAAGAGCCCTGAGCGTACTAGCCCTTGAAAGCCTTCAACACAGCAAAAGCCACCCCCCCCCCAAAAAAAAAAATTAAATAAACAACGGACCCCCTCAGTAACCCTAAACCCTATAAACCCTATAAACCCTATAGCCTCTAAACCCTTTGTCCCTATAAACCCTATACACCCTATAAACCTTTTTTTCAACCCTTTTAACCCTCTTAACCCTATAAACCCTATAAACCCTATAAACCCTAAACCCATCCATTTTGTGGTGCTGCCTTTTCTCAGGGTTCGCGGCCTTGGAGGGGCTGGCTGGCTGGGTTCTTAGGCGCTGGAGGCCTGGAAGCTTGGGGATTTTCGGGTTTAGGGTTCAGGGTTTGAGCGTTTGGGGTTTAGGGTTCACGGTTTTGGGTTTAGGTTTTGGGGTTTAGGGCTTCTGGATTGTAGGCGCGTTTCGTTGCGTCTTAACGGCTTCTGGGGGGGTTAGAGTGTAAAGCTCTTGGGCTGCGCTTTTCGGTTGTTTGGCTGCCTTGGTCCACCTTTTGCCACGGCAGACAGATGCCAAAGCTGCATCAGCTTGCTTGGCAAGGGCTTGCAGCACTTTGGGTTCTGAACTGCAGGCTTTGAGGGTTTCGGATTTACCTGGACCCCAAAAGTATGTAGAATAATAGCCTCTTATGGGTTTCGGGCCATTATTTTACCTACTTGTGCGGGTTTAGGTCGGATTTAAGCACAATTTGGGGTTGTGTGGCGCTTTTTTGGCTTGAGGGTTTGGGCGTACACCGTGTGCACACTCAAGCATCTAGTTAAGACCTTCTCCACTCGTTTCGCTGTGCCAGCGTTGGCAGGGAGTGTAGGGTTTGTTTGGGCTCGATGCAGTCCTACTGGCCTGTATATGTTGAGGTAGCTTGGTCTTCGATGATCCTGCAACCAGTCAAGGGCTTGGAAAGACTGTATATGGTCTTGTAAGGGCGCCGCCTGAGTCACTCATAATCAGGAAACTTGCCATACTTCCCGCAGTTTGATTGAGGCACTTCGGCTGATGTAGGATTTTTCCATCAGCGGTATGAATCTCGATTGTCTTATCCGTCTCATCCCCCCTTCGCCCCAACCTATAGCCTGAGTCTAGGACATTTTCAGGTGTCTAGTTACCGTTATTATAGGAGCCTTATAGAAGGTCTATATACCTTATAGAAGCCTTACAGAAGCCCTATATACCCTAAACTCCCCACCTGTAGTTTCCTTTAAATGAGTGAGTTCAGCTGCAAGAGTTCAAGCCGAGCCCGCACCCGAGCCTTTGACTCCTGTAACCTTTCAGCCTCACAGTCCTTTTCTCTACACCCTAAACCCCTAATCCCTAAACCCTACTGAGCCCCTTGCTCTAAATTCGGCCACTGCGCCCCAGTTAGCTACATAACAGAAATGCACAACAGGCACCCCGAAGCCTTTGCAGGCTACGGCGCCCGAACGGCCCGGCGATCTCCGAAGCCGGCTCCAAGACCGCGCGCTCCTGGAGTTTCGAACTCGGAAAACGCGGGGATTTCGGTAAAATTGAGCCTTGGGTCGAGGCTGTTCCACAAGCCCCTTTTCCCAAAGGCTCCATGTACCCATATAGTATATACTTAGGCCTTAAAGGGGTTCCTATATGGGTACTTTAGGGCCTAAGTATATACTATATGGGTACATGGAGCCTTTGGGTTTTTAATGTGTCTGGTCGCATGTACGGTATGCCGCCATACGTACGCTGTCTGAGCCGAAGGTCGCCGCGTAGCCTCGAAAGAACCCAGCGTCTGGAACGCATGTCGAGTACAGCCCTGACTGCCAGGTGTGTAACTGGTTTGTAAGCGGCATGAGAGGAAAGGGCTGAACCCCCCCCCCCCGCGTGGAAGCTGTTTCGCTTGTCGCCGATCCGAGCAGCAAATCTTTTTCCGATCCGAGCAGCAAATCTTTTTCGTGGGCAATGCTGAAATCTTATGACGACTGACTTACTGCTCTATGGCGCTAACATAGGGGCCTGCAATTTCCTCATATTATTCCACATGGCCCGTCAAAATGATTATGCTACAACGTACCCCGAGTCCTTGTTCTGATGATTATTCAGGCCCCCTATTACTCCCATGTCCCATGGCCACCCTACAAAAAACCCTAAACCCTAACCCCTAAACCCTAAACCCTATTACTCCCATGTCCCATGGCCACCCTAAACCCTAAACCCTAAACGACTTCCTAGGTTGGCCGCGCCAGCACCGAGGAGACGAACGCCTCCGGAGACAGCGACGAGGAACAGGACAAGAGGGGTTCGGGATGGTTCGGGCTGCTGGTTTCGGGGGTTGCTAGGTGCTTGTAGGAAACTCAATTTTAGGTTTAGGCTTTCGGTTTTCGGGCCAAAAGGTTCTTGAGGATTTAGCTTTAGGGGTTTACGGTCTGCCGATGCAAGGAGAGACATGACGAAGAAATAGGTAGGCTTTCTTATTGCAGCTGCGAAAATGCATTTCCACGTCCGCGTACGATTTTTTGTGTTATCTTGCGTGACCGCGACTTGTGTTTCAAGCCGAGCAGCAACTGCTGTTGTTCTTGCTGCTGCTGCTGCTGCTGCCGCTCTTCTGATTATTCTTCTTGGCTCCCTGTCCACCTACGCCTGCTTTTTCTCTTGCATGCCATGTGACGGAAGCAGCTGCACGGCACAAGGGGGTCTGATGACGGTGTTTGGTGTGCTGCGATCGGTCCAAGCAGCCCGACACAGAGGGCCTTGTCCGTCACGTAGGACCAGAACGGTCCGAATCACCTAGAAGGGCTGTACCTAAACCCCCACAAGTAGGTAAAATAATGGCCCAAAACCCATAAAAGGCGATTATTCTACATACTTTTGGGGTCCAGGAAAGCATCAGGGACTCGCAACATCCAGGAGCCTCGAGCAGACGCAGCCGAGTCCAAAGATGATTCCGATGCGTCCAGCGACAGCAGCGATGACGAGGGCGATGAGTCAAAGGCGGAAGCTCCTGCGAAGGACCGGGGTAGACCGGGTAGAAGGTTTGGAAGCAGCGCTCCAGGAGGGTGATTTTGGTTGTGGGGATGAGGGTGTAGGATGGACTGTGGCAGGAGGATGCGACTAAGACAGAGGATAAGAACGACGAGAAGTCAACGTCAGCTTCCGACGACGACAGCACGGTGGAGAGCGACGAGAAATCGGAGAAGCCTGACAAGGAGGACGTGCCCGTAACTCGTCACGCGCGCACACACACACACAAATCGCACAAGCACACACATTATTCAGCAGTGGCCAAAGCCCTATAAACCCCAAAGGCTAAACTCCAGATTCCTCAAGCCGTTCTCTTTTGCTGCAGTCCAGGAAAAGGCTGGCGAAAGCGAGGAGCCCTCGGGCTCCTCGGAGGATTCTGCGGGCGAAGAGCCGAAGAAGGAGGCGGAGAAGTCCGAAGCTGTCAAAGAGGAGATGCCTATGAAGGAGGAGGAGGCCGAGGAGGAGGAGGAAGACAGCGAAAGTGAGGATGAGAAGCCCAAGCAGGAGTCTGCGAAGGAGGAGAAGCCGGAAGCGTCTGAGAAAGATAGCGACTCAGAGGATGCAGGCAAGGAGCCAGAGGAGAAGGAGAAGGATTCTGAGGAGAAGACATCCGAGCCTGAAAAAGAAGAGAAGAAAGCCGAAGACACGGACAAGTCGGAGTCCGGGAAGGAAGAGGAGGAGACGGCCGCAGAAGCAGAGGAGTCTGAGAAACAAGAAGGGAAGCCCAAGGACAAGGAGAAGCCGGAGTCGGAACAGCAAGAAGGGAAGCCCAAGGAAGAGGAGAAGCCCAAGGAGTCAGAGCAAAAGGTCGAAGAGGAGAAGAAGTCGGAGTCCAAAAAGCAGGAAGAGAAGCCCAACGAAGAGGAGAGGCCTAAAGAGCCAGAGCAAAAGGTCGAAGAGGAGAAGAAGTCGGAGTCCGAAAAGCAGGAAGAGAAGCCCAACGAAGAGGAGAAGCTTAAAGAGTCAGAGCAAAAGGTCGAAGAGGAGAAGAAGTCCGAGTCCGAAAAGGTGGAGCACAAGGCGGAAGAAGACGAGAAGTCGGAGTCTGAAAAGGCGGAGAAGTCCAACGAAAACCCAGAAGAGGATGTGGAGAAACCTGTAGAATCGGCACCGCCCAAAGAGGAGCATGGGTTGGCTGTAGATTTCGTGCTGGTGCTTTGCAGTGCAGGGACACGGTTAAGAATGAAACGCGTAATCTTGTGACAGCAGTACTCGTGGTAGCCCGTATTCAACGACGACATCACGGTCGCAGTAGTACCAACAGAAGTCGTGCTCCTTGTGATGGTACCAGGCAGTAGCATTACCATCAGTCGTAGCACCGGCAGCCGCAGCAGCAGTGGCACGTTGAAGACTGCTGGGTTTTGTGATTTGGTGTCAAGTCGGATGTAAGTTCTCAATCATCATCGGAAAATCAGTACATGTCTTCCTTTTCTCTCGACCTGAGAGAGCCCAAAGCTCAAGTACCAAAGCTTCGCAAAGCCGAGCAGGAATCAACAAAGACTCAGACTGAAAATGGGGAGACGGACAAGCCGCTTGCACGAAGCAGTTGGCTCTCGCTGGCTTTTGCTGTGTGCAAAACATGACAGCCTGCGAAGAGTTCAAGCAGGCTGATTTCTCGTATCTACAGAACTCACACGGTCCACGCGGGACGTGCGTTTAAGTCTCCTAACCCTGAATGCCACAAAGCACGCCAAGGAAGGAAGAGCCCCCCAAGGCCAAGGATTCCGAAGAGTCAAAAGAGACGACAGAGGCGAGGCGACCAGGGATGGATCATTCGCTTCAGTTGGTGCTTTGGGGGCTGTCGGGGCCTAGGTCTTCAGGAGCCTTCTTCCTAGGTTTAGGGCCCTTTTAGGGTCCGTCTTATAGGGGGGTTCCAGGGGCTTTAACTTGCAACATCCAAGGATCTACCTATAGTCTCCATTGTAGTTCCTTTTGGGGGGGTTACCTTGTAGGATCCTTAATATAGACTTGGTTAAGCCACCCTAAACCCTAAACCCTAAACCGTATGGAGACTATAGGTAACCAAGAAAGGAAGGATCAAGTTCGCGGAGCCTGGGTTCCCTCATGGTTCTCCTTTGCACAGAATGAAGGCTTCAGGGAGTCCAACACCCCCTTTAAGTAAGGAATAGACCCTTAAATCATATTAGGCTTCCTGTTATAGTTTAAGGTCTACTCCTTAATGTAAGTAAGGAATATACCTTAAATCATATTAGGCTTCCTATTATAGTTTAAGATATATTCCTCAATTACGGTGCTTTGGAGTCTCTGAAGTCAAGGCATCTGGCCGCAGTTTTGTAGTCCGAGGGTCGCTTGGCAGTGCCCATACATAGGCCCCTAAGTAGTTCCTTTTTGTGTGGGTTATAGTTAGAATCCTATAATACTTAGGAGCCCAATAGGTAAACTTTGAACTTTTTTGGTATATTAAACCCCTACTAAAAGAAAAGTTGAAACTTTTTTGGGCCAGGGTACTGGGCAGCTAAGAATAAGGTAATCCCAATAAAGGGAACTACTTAGGGGCCTATGGGTGGAACTTGCAGCACAGCTCGGCCGCAGCGTGGTGTCAAGCGTCGCGGAGCCTGCGAAGGCAAACAGCGAGGAAGCGGAGGCCGTTGCTTCAGAAGAGCAGAACCCAAGGGGTCCTAGGTACTGTTATGGGGGATACTTCCCCAAACCATAATAGTAACCCTAAACCCTAAACCCTAAACTTCCCCAAACCATAATAGTAACTCCTAGTATAGAAACCCTACAGTCTACTATATAGGTACTTTGGAGCCTTTGGGGAAGGAGAAGAAGGACTCAAAGAAGCCCGAAGGCGCAGAGGAGCTCAAGAATGAGGCAGAAGCCAAAAACGACAAGAAAGATAAAGAGCCGAAGGATGAAAAAGGCAAGGATGATGGCAAGGAAGAGGCAAAGGACAAGACGGAGGAAGCACCGAAAAAAGCTGAAGAGTCTCAAAAGCAAGCAAAGCTCTCCGGGACGGAAGAGGCAGGGTAGCGCCCTGCGAGCGCAGCTCACCCATGCCCCTTTAGTGTCAGTGCGCAGGTAGACGGCGGAGATGCTTTATTATTACAGGTTAGCTTTGCAGTCTTGTCCCTCGCAGTCTTATGCTCCGAGCCAGATCTGGTCCCACTTGGACTGCGTAGCTGGCCTTGTCCAAGCCGGAGCCTTTATAGACCGAAAACTATCGCTTTGCAGCCGTTGAAGTCGGCAAAACATCTCCTCCCTCCTGCGCGAAGCCCCTCTGCAAGGCGGTGAGCATGATGGGGGAAATGCTCGTGGCCTTGAAGTCTGAGGAGAAGCTCGTCTGAACCCTCAAAGCCGGGCTCCTTAAGGCCCTACCCCAACTGCGCACACCAAAGTGCCCACACCTGTGAACTGTAAGCCGCGTCCAAGAGCTGTCGGCGGAAAGCAGACGAAAGCCTCAATCTGTCAAACCTCTTTCAAGCCAAGAAGCAAGAAGCAACACGCCCCGAGAATTTAAACCAGCTACTGCAACTTTCAGGATAACACACACAAGCACCAAGAAAAGCCGCCTGGGTGAGACCGTTTGATCCCTGAAGCTGCCTCAAATGTGCCATGCCCGAACATTCCCGTGGATGGGGAGGGGGCACATGTACAGACCTATAGTCTAGCGGCTAGCGGAAAGCTTGTAGATGGAGCTGCTAAGAGAAAGGGCTGTAGCTTGGTGTGGTCTTGTCGTGTGGTGTCTTTCCGTAGTTAGTTCCTGTCATCTTGCTATATGTTGTCAAGTAATAGGATTCTGATGTTCTTGTGTTATCTCGCGCCTGTTGGCCTGCCATACCGCATCGTCACACTCAGGGTTCTTTTTGCTTGCAATGTTTGCCGCTCTCTGGTATAGGAAGGTGATTCCACGAGGCCTAATGCTTCAATGATGTTGTCAGGGCCTAACCGTCACAGCGGCACCTATGCCGGCTTGAACTATTCTTCTGTGTTTCGTGTTCGAGACTTGACGGCGCGTGACCTTTGGGCTCAGGGTTTTCTGGGCTTCAGTTCTGCGAAATCTGGTAGAGCTGAGCTTGAAGCAACCTGAGCCTCCAAGGGCAAGCGAGGACGAAGATAAAGATGCAGTCCCCAAGGAAAGGAAGCAGCAGGCAGCTACTTTAGTCCGTAAGGCTCGAACCCAGAGATTCCACAACCCCTTAACTATGGAATGCACCTTAAACTAGAATATACCTTAAACTATAGTAGGAACCCTGATATGATCTAAGGTATATTCCTTAATTAAGGGGTTTTAGGGGCTTTAGAGTCTCTGGGAAAGCTCCTCGTAGATAAGCCCCAGGCAGCAAGCCCAACACCGCTTGATCGAGAGTAGTCCTGATCGTCTTAGGGCTTATGCTTACGATGTATCGTCCCCTCCTTCGTTAAGGAGTATTGATTGGGCTTCCGGGGTCCCTACAACCGTGTACAGATTGTGTACAATCCTAGAAAAAGTTTGCTTTGCATCCACGGGGCTGCAAGTGACAAGAGCTTTTGGCGAGAAGTGAAGCACCCGGCGGGTATGGGGGACCCCCACAGTCAGAGTAGAGACCCTGTGGGATTCCTGAGTATGAAACTATTTTCCTATTTGGTTTGTATGATTTTCTTTAGTTTACCCCGGAACCCTACCTCAATCCTAAAACTCACTATATATATACATATAGATATAGATATATATATATACACATATACATATACATATACATATATATATATATTTTTTTTGAGGCCGGTCTTACATAGTCTTTGTGCGGATCACGGATGAAGGTTTCAGGAGATGAGGGGTCCCTTCTCGAGCTTTTGTTCGTGAGGCTGTTCTTGCCCCCACCACGCCAAGCCTCGAAGAGAACACCATGATCTGGTTGCGAGTGTTGCAGCGAACGCGGCCTTGAGAGAACAGGGTGTTGCCATCATTTGCACAGTGGCACGCTGTGTCGATCTTGGGGGCATATTCTTGGAAGTCACACATGCACACGCTTCGCCCGGCAATTTTGTGGCCCGGATATGTGCTGTACAATTTCCCTTCATGCACATAGCAGTACATGATGTCTCACATAGACCGAGGTAGTTGGTGGAGGAGCAACACCCGTCGTACTAGTAAGAACCCGTCACTGAAGTTACAAAGCGCAGGCCGTCGACATGATGGAGGAGGTCTTGGTAGCTTTCAAGCCGGATGAGACCCTTGCACAGCACACATTCGGGACTTGCGGGCACAGTTCCAGGTCGTTCTGTCAACCCTATACCGGCAGATGTCATAAAGGCAATGATGTGGACAAGGTTAACAATGCAGAAGAACTCAGCGTTACATCTCAACGCCAACAGCCCTGCAACGGTTTGAAGGGAGCTGTTTGCAGATCATGACCGCGGCTACCCCGAGGAAGCGAAAAGAAAAAGACGAAGAAGAGGGTGTCACCAAGGAGATGAAGCAGCAGGCAGACAAAGCTTGAGGGTTTTGCACCGATCATGGCATACTTGCAGGTTCATGGGTAGTTCTAAGTGGGGTTATAAGTCCCCTAATAAGTATAGATACCCTACTTATAACCCCACTTATAACTACCCGTGAACCTCCAAGTAGTGTCGATGATCAAAATCCTGCATCGCCTTTTTAAATGTACACATAGGTACTTCCAATAGGGTCGGTGACCCAGCATAGTGCAGAACTCTGACCATGTTGGAAAAGCACGGTGAATATCGGCAGGGACAGAGACATCCTTCTGACGGGATGTGAAACCCCCCTCCTTGCCGGCATCGTGATAAGTTCATGTTGAGACTGAGTTGTGGTTTCCTCAGAACCTTGACTGACACCACGACTTCGACTTCGCTCACTATCCTCTAACCAATCCCTGAAAACCTGTACACCCAGGAAGTTGCATTCAAATTCTACTTCACTCTGCTATAGTAGACTGCACTCTACTCTACCGTAACCGTACTGTACTATACTAGGCTATACTCTACTCGAGGCGAAGGAGTACTTCGACTGGAACCGTGCTTGGTATCCCATCGCACCTCTGGACTACCTGCACGCGGACAAGTTTGGATCTCGGTCTAGGGTTTAGGGTTCAGGGTTTAGGGTTCAGGGTTCGGAGGAGCTTGGCAACTTTGGGGCTTTTAGGGCTTAGGGCTTAAAGGATTTTCGTGCTTTAGGAAATTTTAGGGTTTAGGGCTTTAGGGATTTTAGGGTTTAATACTTGCGTCAAGGGTTCTGGGGTTTTTGCATGGAGAGCAAAACGGCATGGTAGAATGATGCTGGCGAGTATCTTGTGTGTTGTAACATGCCCTAAGTCGTCGCGAGAGAAGAAGCACAACAGTAGGCATACCCATCCTCATCGCCTCGGCCATGACTATAATTATCCGACCTCTCTTTGTCCACAATTGCCCTCAAAGCACCTACAGATGGAAGTGGTGCTTTTGAAGCTCAGGCCCAACCCCGTCAAGCTGCTGGGAAAGCGAATGGTGGCCTCTTGACTTTCAACTTGCGGTCCACACTTGCCGGCGCTGTTACACTCCCCCCAAATCCCAAGCCCTGCATCCTAAAAACCCAACACTCTAACTCTAACACCCTAAAGCCACTAAACCCCTAAACCCCAAACCTCTACCTGAGACCCTGGAGCTGCGAGATGCTGAGGTTTGGTGCTCGGACGTGGCAGAGAATATCTGGCACGCAGCTCTCGACAGCTGCCCCCACCGCATGGCCCCGCTGTCCATTGGTGAGGCCGGATGCCGGCCAAATTGTCGCTTCCCATAGAGCCCAATACCCGTTAATGAGGGGTTTAGGGGCTTAGGGTTTAGGGCTGAATGAGGGGATTTTTTCCTTAAATCAAAGGGGCGTCTATATCCCTAAACCCCCTAAACCTCCTAAACTCTGGTTTAAGGTAGATGCCTTAGTTTGAGGGGGTATTGGGCTCTCTGGGTTCTGGAGGCCTTGGACGGAATCAGGGGTAAGCTAGCTCTCGGAATTGTTACGGAACTAGGCCATGAACCGAAACTATCGGTTTAGGGTTTAGGCGTTTAGGGTTTAGGGTATAAGGTTGATGGTGGTGTCATGGTTATCGTTCTTGTCACTATAATGACTGTTACTACTGCTAGTCTCAGTCTGATACCTGTTCCGGTTTGTGATGCTAGTCACTACAAATTAGTCTTATTGGTACGATTATTCATGTTATTCTTGTCTTTATTGCTTCTATCATCAGCATTCGTGTTGGTGGCGCAATGGACTCCACGAACCCTGGTCTATCCATGAACTGCTCGACTCGGCTCGGGTCATGTCAGAGCTGCAGGTGCTCTCCGGCGTGGCCCGTCCAAACTCGTCCCCGCCCTAAAGCCCTAAATCCGAAGCCCTCAGGGTTTAGGGTTTAGGGTTTAGACCCTTAAACCTTCCGTCCTGCTGAGGTTCTGGACTCCGGAGAGCTGCGCTGCCGATACCATGGCTGGTCTTTCAACGGAGTCGCTTGGACCAGACATCCTTTGAGTTTGGAAGGAGGGTTTCCGCCGTTTGCAACAACTACAAGTCTACGATGAACAGGACATAAAGCCCAAAATCCTCCAAAGGCACGCCCTTTTTCTCAAGGCCGGCAGCTGCGTCTGTGTACCGCAGGCCAGAAACGAAGCAGAGGCCGATCTACGAGATCAGGGGTTTATTCTTTGGGGCTTATAGGGTTTATAGGGCTATAGGGCTTTTATATCCGTTGATAAGGTTTTGAAGGCCTTGACGGCTTTGGGGAGGACGTGGGTTTCTGCGGTTTGGTCTTACCTTTGGAGATTCTGCATTGAAGTAAGATGCGAGAGACTTCTGGGGTCCTTTAATCAGGATCATTTGCGGTTTAGGGATTCAGGCTTTAGGGTTTAAGGTTTGGGGGGAGGGGGGGGGCATTTTTGAAATCCTTCTCCTGAAAACCTTGCCGTCCGTAGAACGCTGGGGCTTCGTAAAGTAGACCCGAACACCTCGCGCATCCCGGAGTGCTTCAACTTTCAACTCCAAAAGCGAGATCGTTCAACCTCGAACCCAAGATCTCTGCAGTGAAGCAACCTGAAAGCCGCAGAGGAGGCGCGGATTAGCGGCCTGGCGCGTAGCTGCAACCAAGTTGCACTTTCCAGTGGATGTAAGGGAGGTTGAAAGCTGGAGAAGCCCCAATCGAAAGCCAGTGACCCGGGTGGCTCGCATACGACCATGTATGTATAACATTTCTGTATTATAAATGGACACACACACACACGCTTTCAAGCCTCCGTAAGCCGCGTACGTCAGTTGTCGAGAGACGTCGAGGCTTGACCACCTTCCCGGTGCAGGTGAAGCAGGATCGGGAAAAGGGCCTTTAACTTTAGGAGTTTAGGGCTTCAGGGTTAAGGTCCAGGTTTGGGGAAACGTCTGACCGGCTGAACAACTTGGGTTTGAGGGCTAAGTAGTCAGTTTAGGGTGTCAGGGTTTAGTTTCCCTTGCAGGGTTTCTGGCGTATTGTTCCTGGGGCGGATGAAAGGGCTCTCTGAGGCAGCACGAGGCTCGAACTTACTTGGGGTTGTTGCCTAATGCCGACCGCTACAGACGGTGTCGCGGGGTGTCGAGCTGCGCCGGACAGCGATTGCTACTGAACGCTTTCGGGATGGTCGCGGCGTTATTGCTCCATTCACATACAGCTCAGGATTAGGATGGGTTATACGGCAAGCTTCATAGTTCCATTGGAGGTCTTGTGAAGATCTTCGGATACTTGGAACCCTTAGAAACCACTAAGGATGAAGGGAGGATAGGTTACATTGCATCGCATGCGCGAATGCCCCAACGATATACTGGCAGGATTCATGCTTTCTGACGGGATTCAGAGGTTTGGAGGCCAAACCTCGACACAACGTAGGGTTCCAAAGACGACCAAGCACTTCTAGATCTCCTTCAGGATATGGGGGAAATAGGGGCGCCCATGTAATGGGCCTTACTGCAACAAGTAGGGCCCTGACAAATCCTGACCATGAGAACCCCTACGTACATCATATTCCCAGACACGTGCTGATGGAGGGCCTGGTGTGGATCTTCCCTTTCACCGGGCAAGATGCCACCACACACGCCAAAAAGTCGCCCGGCACAGCTTCAAGGCCAGTTTTCGGTGGATATGGGGGTTTAGGTTTAGGGCTGGGTTTTTTGTCCCGGCAGGGTTTCTTGGGTACTGTCGGAAGATCTATTGCCCACGGTAGGCCCGGCGCTCAACAGCTTCTCGAGCATGCATGGACAGAGTCCGAAGAAAGCCCTCCGCACTGTTCAGAGGGTTGTTTGTATCTCTACCAACGTGGACAGGGTCTCAAAAAAGCCTTCCCCTCAGCGGACAGGGCTTTCAGTGGCCCCTCTGCAGCCCGGATCGAGATTCCTCGGGCCCGACATGTTGAGGAAAGCCTTCCTAATCCAACGACGGGTTTTAAAAGGTCGTCTTGTGTACTCCTTGCCACTTAGAGGTCTTAAAGAACGCCCTCCCCTCAGCGGCAGGGGGGTTTAATTGGGGCCTGTGGGGGGTTTCAAATGGCCCTTGAGGCAAAAAGAAAACACATGAAACCTCGAGGAAGGCAGAAAAAACCTTGACAGGCCACACAAGGCTTTTTTTACTTCTTGGCAAGGCTTCATGCTGACGGGCCGCTAGCCCAGGCTCGGGCTTCCGCTTGGCGGGCTCCCCCGCCCTTCGCGGGCTCCCTGCCCCTCGCGGGCTTCCTGCCCTTTGCCCTTCGCGGGCTTCCCGCCCCTCACTGCCTCCATGCCCTGCACGGGCTTTCGCCCCTTCGTGGGCTCGCTGCCCTTTGCGAGCTTCCTGCCCTTCGCGGGCTTGCTGACTTTGGCCTTCCCGCTCTTCACGGGCCCCCTGCCCCTCGCGGGCGGGATAAATTGGCTCTGGATCAAAAAATTCAACTAGCAGAACAGGGGGAGGGACGGAGGGAGGAAGGAAGGCAGGATGCAGAGCAGGGAAAAAGGAGGGAAGGAAGAAAGGAAGGAAAGAAGCAAGTAAGGAAGAAAGCAAGCAAGAAGGGAAGGATGAGAGTAGACAAGGAAGGAAGAAAGGAAGAAGGAAGGCAGGCAGAAAAGAAAAAGACGGGAAGGAAGGAAGGAATGAAAGAAGGAAGGAAGGAGAGAAGTAATGAAGGTATGTATGTACACATACCTACATACATACATACATACATACATACATACATACTTACTTATATAAACATAAAGCGTAAACATCCATAAATATTTTTCAGAGCTGCCAAGGCACTTCCCAGATTTTCCAGTCTCCATCGAGCGGTTTGCTCCTTGTGTTCCCAAGTTCTGTTAGTGTGTGTCGATCGGTTTGCTCCTTTTTTCTTAAATTATCATCCAGTTTGTTTCGCTTGGTTTGCCATTTGTTCTCAAGTTCTCTAGTCTCGTTTCGAGCGGTTTGCTCCTTCTTGTCAAATCCTCCTTTTTTTCTTCGAGCAGTTAGCTCCCTGTCTTCAAGTTATCTAGTTTCTTTCGTGCGGTTTGCTCCTTTTTCACAAATTCTATGATCTTTTTGAGCGGTGTGCTCCTTGTTCTCAAACTTTGTAGTATATTTCGAGCGCTTTGCTGTGTTTTATAATTTTTCTAGTCTCTTTCGACTGGTTTGCTTCTTGTTCTCAAACTCTCCAGTCTCTGTCGATCGGTTTGCTCTTCTTTTCAGCATTTTCTCAAATTTTCTAGGCCTTTTCGAGCGGTTTGCTCAAAGTCGATGGTCTCCTTCGAGCGGTTTGCTTCTTGTGTTCTCAACCTTTCTATTTTTTTTCGAGCGGTTTGCTCGTTTTATTTAATTCTCTAGTCTCTTGCGCTTGGTTTGCTCTTTGTTCCTTCGGAGGCTCCTGGCTCGGTGGTCTTTTTGCAGACTGCCTCTCCACGCTCACGCTTCTTAGTCTCGTCCTTCTCCGTTTCCTTTCTTTCTGCGTCTTTCCTCCCCCGCCCCTCCCCTCCCCTGACTCTCCTTTTTTCCCCTTCCCTTCTCCAGTCCCTTCCGCTGCCCTTCGTTCCTTTGTCTCGCTTTCTTTACCCTGCCCTTTCCCTGCTTTCTTCTCCGTTTCCCCGCCCTCTTCCTTTTCTTCCTCTTTCCCTGTCTCTCTGTTTCTGCGTCACTGTCTGTCTGTCGCTCTGTTTCTCTCTCGCTCTTTCTCTCTTCCTCTTTGTCTTCTTGCTCTCACCTCTGCTTTCCTGCGTACCTTTTGGTTTCCCTCCGTCTCTCGTTTTGTCTCTTTCTCTCTCACTCTCTCTGTCTTTCCCTCTGTCACCCTCTCTTTTGCCCATTGCTTCTGTGTCTTTGTCTTTCTGTCTCTCCCTCTCTTTGTCTCTTTGCTTATCTGTCTTATGCCTCTTTATTATTTGGTTCCTTCGGCCTTAGACCCCCAAACCCAGGGCGCGAAACCAGCCTTGTACGGCCGGCTCGGTTGTTTGCTGCCTCCTTAAAGACTCTTTTGTTCCTTCGGCGTTAGACCCCCAAACCCAGGGCGTGACAAAAACCTGTATGGCCTGTTAGGTAATTTTTGCACCCCTTCTTCAGAATTGTTATTTTCCTTCTGCCCTAGACTCTATATTGACCCCCAAACCCTGACGATGTAAACAGGGCGCGAAAAAGACCCCGGGCCGCAAAGTGAGCATGAGGAGCCTTTAGGGGTGAAAAAAGCTCCGCCCGTTCTTTCGGTTTCTGGTAGGGTAACAAGCAGGCACTGAAAACAGGAGTGTGGGCAAGAAAGCATTCTGATCATTGCGGTAAACCCCAAGTAGCAAGGACAAGTGTTCTGAAAGTTTCGGTGCGGCTTGATGTGCTTGCCGATGACCTGTGATCTTTGTCACAGTCTGCCACTCTGCGTTCCCAAATGGCCTTTGGAGTTGGAAGAGTTTTTCCTTCGGACTCGTCTGAGGTCTGCGCCATGCGTCACCCCCGAAATGGACGGCGCCGACGCTTGGAACACACGGTATTTCAGTTGAAAGCCTTCGGAGCTCAGCAGCTCGCGCGATGGGGGAGTGAGGACACCTTAGCCTTAGCACCTGGAATCCTATGCTTCGAAAGTGTGCATTTAGGATTTCAGGCTTTAGCGCTCTCCGGCTTCCAAAGAAGGCCCCTCTAGATTGAAACGCTACTTCAGCCAACTAAAAATGTAAACTCATACGAGCCTGAGGAGTGGATCATGACGGTTGCGCCAGTGGGCTACCAGGTGCTTGGCGACTGCTGCGGGCGTTGGGCTTCTGGATACTATGCCTATACAGCTTCCAAGAGCTGAAGGGTTGTGAGCCGTTTTCGTTATTCCGTTAGTCTTTGCACGGCATTGTTCCTCAATCCCAAGGCCTCAAGTTATATGACCATAAAAAGGTGGGAGTTTGCAGAGAGATTGGGGGACGGGAAAAGGGGCCTTCGTAATGCCATGTCTTAAGAAAGCCCAGTTGTGTCGTTTCACTGTTGAGCCACCTCCTTGGGTGAGAGCTGTGTTCAGGGCTCCAAATGTCGGGGGTTTACAGTTTCGGGTTATTACTTGATGCCAGCCATGGTGAAGACAAGGATCCTGCATGCTCGCCACTCAGGACATACCAGGCTTCAGGATTTGCAGTGGAAGCACGAAAGACCACAACATTCTCGATATTGGGGAAGCGCTGTCACTTCCCCCCAAACCTGCTTACTCAGGCTGCCTGCATACTTTGCAGGCATGACTGGGCATCACGCGGAGAGGCGACTCAGCGTACCTCACTGTAATGGCAAGCATCCCCGCCCCAACAACACTTCGACCTATCAAGGGATGTCAAAGACCTGCACCCCGAATCTGGAACTTCAGTAGCATGACTTGCAGTTCAATAGCACGCAAGCTGGAAGCAGGTGTCTGTGGAAAACACGTTCGACCCCTCTCATGCGCCCTTCCTTCACAACGGCATTGTCAAGTATGCCGCAGAGCGGGCTGCACGGCAGCACGTTTAAAGGTGATTAGCATGAGGCTGTGAGCATTGGCTGTTTGTTGCCCCACCCCTCTCTGGTAACTAGGCGCAAGCTGCTGGCATTGAGTAGAAGGAAATGAGGTTCCCAGCGCCCAAACAGTGCGGCAAATGCTGTTGTCTTCGCTTTCGCTTTGCTTATTTGCAATCTCCAAGCGATATGATCTTGGGTCGCCCTGTCGAGTCTTGTCCGCGATGGCAGGCACGGGCTATAACGAAGTTCGTCTTGCGGGACGATGTTATTTCCGGCAAGCGTGGCTTCGTGCTGCAACACAACGGCCACTTGTGCTTTCAGAGCCTGACGAAGCCTACTTCCGGTCGTTTAGTTGGGTGTTTTGCATTCTGGCGTGTCAAAATTATCCCGCACGAGGTGGCCGGGCAGGGACTCGTAAGCGTTACCTGAAGGAGTGGTAAGCGACGAGCCCTGTAATCCTGAGCCTAACAATACCTCGAACTGGCCCGATGTGTGTCGAGGTTATGACGAGTCCACGGAAGGCATCGCTGCAACGAGACAGTTCCTTCGCCAAACGCTTGGCTACCATAAATCCGGTAATTAAGCCTCAGGCCCTTGGGCTAACTCATCCGAAAGAGTTTTGGAGCAGGACGGCTGGAATCGGAGCCAGTTTGCATCAGCATCAGACAGCGGTCACCCTCATCCTCAACATCACCACAGCCGCCACTAGAAGCACCACCATCATCGTCGTCATCATCACAACTGTGTGCCGGGGAAGTTGAAGTGCTGTTGCCACATTTCTGTCACATCTCAGGGCTGGTGCTTGCTTTGAAAGGTTCGTGCCACCGTGTTCCAATACCACCGTCTACAAATACGCGGATGGGCGTGTGGAGACGCTCGGTCACACCACTCGGGGTCTAGAGTGGGACCTTGTCTGTACATACAAGGCGAAGCCAGTCGGAATGCCACCGAAATCCCTACACCCTGGTGGGGTTCTCCTTCAGCCTAAACCGCTCAAACCCCTAAACCCCATAAGCCCCGTAAACCCCTAGACCCGTACCCTATACTCTTATAAAGGAACAGGGTTTCCGGCCACCTGCCCTGGCCGAGGACGAACCAGCTCTACTTCGTGCCTTGTGGCCCGCATGAGACTCGCTACATCGTGAACCTTGGTGCCGGTGAACGGCGAAGGCCCAGAAAGTGAGGTGCTGCCATGCTGTCATATGCTGCCCAGAGCAGCATCGAGATCTACTAGTAGCGTGCGGGGGCCTCAAAGTATATGTTTGGGCGTCCGGTAATTCAGCCCAAAGTTCCAAGCTGCTCGCACACATCTCCAGCAACCATCGCAGTGCAAGTCTTAGAGTCCTTCGGAAATTCGTTTTCGCCACTACTAGAAGCTGCATACAGTTCGATTGATTAAACAGACTTGCAACGCGTACTGGTCCATGCTTCAAAACCCTAAACCCTAAATACCCTAAAACCCTAAGCCCTGAAACCCTAAACCCAAACATCCTAAAGCCCTAAATCCTAAAACCCCAAACCCCAAACCCCTAAACTATTCCGTTGAGCTGGATTGGCAAGATGGAAAAAGGTGCTCAAAACAAACCCTAAACTCTTACGCTCCTCTCTCGGGGAAATGCTGGGCCCGGAGGCGGCTTCCGACGATCATGGAAGATGTGCTCCATGTGTCCTCCGGCTTGAGCTTAGGGCTTAGGGTATAGGGCTTAGGGCTTAGGGCTTAGGGTTTAGGGCTTAGGGCTTAGGGTTTAGGGTCTCTGGTTTAGGGTTTAGGATTTAGGGTGTTTAGGGATTAGAGAGGATTTGGGTAGGTTGTGAAGTTCTTTCGGCGTTGCTGCGCGACGGTGGTGATTCTGACCATGCTGGTCTTACTTGTAGTAGTCCAGTCGTAGTCGTCCTTCTTACGAGCCCAGCTATGCTGGCGCAGTCTCTATTTTGAGAACCCTTCGGTTCATTTTCCTTCTTGGAAGCTCGACTAATCCGTATGCCTTTGATGCCCCCAGACGGTATTTTTGTTTTTTTGGTTAGCCCTCCGCACCCGGACATGGCTTTTTAAATGACTGAAAGCTGCCTTTATATAATTATGTGGAGATTCAATTCTGGCTAGGTGGAGAACTAGTTCCTTCGATGGGGAAGCCGACAGCGCACTAACCATCCTTTTTGGAACTGAATCAGGCAGCCCTGCCCCAGTGCGTAGGTGGGGTTTCCAGCATAACGCGCCAAAAAAAACGCCAGCACGCCCCGACATTGTTCACAGCCCAAAACTCAAAATTGTAAAGCTGCACGGGTTCAACATTCATTAAGACCTGTGTCTTTGATCCCGTAAACAAGGCTTTTCTTCAACAAGATCTTCGGCTTCCAGTCCGCACCAGATTGCTGTGTCCATGCATTTAGATGGCTGTGCGGTTGCATTTCGATCTCGCGGGGAGATAGCTTGTCGGGTTGTGGGAGCAGTACCGACTCTAACCCTGATGAGCTCAAAGGTCCCTAAACCCTAAACCCATCTGCGCTGTTAAGGATACCGTTTCCAAGAGCAGGACTTGATGGCCATGTGCGGACAGGAGACGCGTACCGGGGTCAAAAGACAACCCATGTTCTGGCAGCGGTCTGCGCCAGTCTCGGCCGGATTTGGGGTTTTTCTACCACACACAGTCCGCATGTGTGGGTGTGTTTGTGTGTATGTGTGTGTGTGTCTGTGTGTGTGTGTGTGTTTTTGATTTTCTGTGTTTGTTCCAGCAGAAGCGATTTGGTACGACTTGGGAAATCTAACAAATATCATGGTATATTATGGTATGTATATATATATGGTATAGGTATAGTATATTATAGTATAGTGTAGTATAGTACAGTATTTATAAGATGGAAAACCTTACAAAGTAGAATCTGCCGATCTCTGCATGAGGAGCGGGCGCTTCAGGAGAGTGCCAACTATGCCTGGGGAGAGCAGTATGTGCTCGGCCACGTAGACGCAGGAAGAGGGTTTAGGGTTTAGGGTCCCCCGCAAAGCAAAGTGGAGGGCTTGAGGCTTTGAGAGCTTGTAGCGTTTACCCAAATTAACAACCAAAAAGCCTATCTGTTGAGGTTCCGTTTCATGGCTTCCTTCTTCTAGTCCATAAAAAAGTAGGTTTTCTGGGCTTCAAAGCCTTACATCCTTAGGGCTTCAAGGGCATCATGTTGAATGCCGATGTCATGTTGGATGCTCTCACACAGAGCCGAGAAGTCAAGGGCAGGGCCTCCGGCAACTGCACGGGGATGACATGCGAGCCGTGTCCATGTTGGAGCACGTCAACGTTACCGAGTGAACTCCTGAGGCACTCCGGCTGACAAGGGCGTCGAGGTGTTTCGGAGCCTTGGCAAAGCTAGCAATAAGCTGGCAGCACGCATGGAGGCAGAAAAGCACGGAGACCATCGGCGCGGAGTTCTGCCAGTGTTGGCCTCTTGTCTTAGAGAAGTCAGTCAGGGAAGCGTCTCCACACTCAGGAGATGGTTCTACGAGTTTGCCAATGGAGGGCCCTACTTTCCCAGGTCCTCCAGGAGCAAAGGGGGTCTTTCGGGCGTACGGCTGGGGGTCTGTCGGCTTAGAATTCGGGGTGCAGGGGTTCAGGGGTTTTGGCCCTAAGCCCCCAACCCTAAACCCTATAAACCCCCAAACCCTAAATCCTAAACCCCCCGGGTTGAAGGCTCTGCCGTTCGGGGGAGGGCAAGAAGCTTTGGGTGGTCCCAAAGGCTCCTAGGTACTGTTATGTGGGATACTTCCCCAAACCATAATAGCAACTCCTAATATAGAAACCCTACCTTCTACTATATAGGTACATAGGACGCTAAACCCTAAACCCTAAACCATAATCGTAACTCCTAATATAGAAACCCTACATTCTCCTATATAGGTACTTTGGAATCTTTGGGGGGTTTCATGGCAAGACCTGAGGCCTCTCCTTGAGTGCCCCTGAAACCACAAGGTATAAGATATAAGATATACCAAAAAAGATACTATATAATTCCCCTTTAGAGCCCCTAGAACCAAAAGGTAGAAGATAGAAGATATACCCAAATAAAGATAATATAGAATCTGAGGCTTTTTGGAATCCCACTCTCATCATGTACCGGTAGGGCCAGGAAGTTCATGACAGCGTGCAAGGCATACCGGGGCTTTAACACCAAACCCTTGAGCCCTGAGGTTGGCTCATGGTCTGCCTTGCCGAGTTGCGAGAGTCTAAACCCTAAACCCTAAACCCTACTGTAAATCCTATAATAATAATTATTATTATTATGATTATTATAATCAGAACAATAGTAATAACAATAATAATATTATTATTATGAGATATATATATAGATAGATGGATAGATAGATAGATAGATAGATCTGTTTTCGCGATTGAAGAGCTGGCCACCGGAGCCTTCCCCGTGAAGCAATTCGGACTTTCGGATTCCGATGGGTTGGGATTTCTGTTTCAGCCGAACTTTAGGGTTTAGGGTTCAGGGGGAGAGAGGGAGAGAGAGAGAGAGAGAGAGAGAGCGCCGAACTTTAGGGCTTAGGGTTTAGGAGAACCTTGCAAGAAGACAAGACTCAGGGATTAGGGGCGTTTAGGGCCGGGTTTAGGGTTTAGGGTGGGGAGGAAGAGAGTGCAAGGACGCTTCCGGCAACTGATTCGATGCTCTTTGACCGCTGGCAAAGACATTCGAAGTACTGCGTGAGGCTCAGACATCGAGGCACGAGCATGCTTGAGCAGGTGCACAGATGCTTCTGGGAAAAGCATCTCTGTCTTGAAGCCCAGCAGACGGGTTTCACAGATGCCAGATGCCAAATCCTTTGAGCGATAAGACTCAGAAATCTTTCAGAATTCGTGTGTGGAGAGTTCTACCTTTGGTGCGGATACTGTCTATCATTCCCTGTGTTTCCAGGTTCCTTCCATGCACCTACACAGAAAATGGCCGTTTGAACCAACATGTCCGAATCAAGGCCCGCGCTGTCGACGCGTCATGCGTGCCTTTGGCGACTTGGCAGCTGGTTTTGCCCGGGCTCCGGGCCGAGTTTTGATCAGCGAAGAGGGATGCAAGGATCTGCCGTAGGGGCAAGTAATGACATCAACATGACGTCAAGGAAACAGGCCTGCTTTATGGCAGGATGCTGTGTACCTCCTGAGTAAGTGCTGAAATCTTGCCTTGATCCAACAGGCTTCCCGAAGCAACATGTTCCCTAAGCCCGAAGATAAATTCGGCAGAGAGCAAGAAGCCAGATCCAGGCAACCAAAAGTATGGAGATCTTCGGCCACATATAGGGACATGACCTTGGAAACGCGTTTTTCGGTGATCCCTAAACCCGTGAGATCCGAAGCATGTTCCGCTGATCCAAAGCCACTGGATCAGTTGCGACACCCGGTGAAAATACTCTCCCTGCAGGTTGCTGTAGAGACGCCACATATTCCACACGAAAGCATGGTTGAAGAGCACGCAAGCCAAGCCGTACCCGCACAGGTTTCCGACAGACCGCAAAGCTTTGGCAAATCACTTGTGTGCTTCGCGCTCCTGCACCAAAACGGTCGCAGCTAAATTCTCGGTGCATGCGGGCTGAGGCACACTGCATGAGGACCCCGGGTGTTCATGGCAACCACGGGCTTTTGTGAAGCGAGGCATCCCCTGCGCTATTCAGATATAGTTAAGGTAATTGGCATGGGCTGAAATTTGCAGCGAGAAGGTTGCAAAAACGATTTGCACAAAAGATGTACACACACTCACACAGACGGCCCTGCCCCATCCGGGCTTCCACGCAGTGAAACATGTGCCCCATATGCCATTGTAGTCTCCGGCGTGTTTGAACCCTCTGGCAAGCTGTGAAGCTGTTCATCGGTCCTCGAATCCCAGGTCCAGTTGAAAGAAGACTATGATATACTGCTCTAGTACAGTATAACAGACCATAGTGTAGGCTTGTACATTAATGGCAATTACAAGCATACTACAGTATATGTTGAGACCTGAGTCTTGGACTCTGTCGCTTTCCCAGCATTTACCATGGCTGCTGCAGCCTCGAAACTCACTTCAGAGCAGAGTAAGACGGCTTCTCGAAGAACTCCCG